ACTAAAATACTTTAACACCTGACCTTTGCACTGTGAACTTAAATATCTGATTTTTTATAATTTGCCAAATACAATTTGTATGTAGGGAATACGAGCAATTAATTAATAGGCCCAAAGTTGGAACATATAAGCCCACTGTAAAACCCAACCTTTAAGTCCGATTCTCCCATTGCCCTTTTATCTCAACCCGACAAACAACAGTAGCGCTCACTCCTCGTATGGCGACGGAGATACCGGCACCAGACGGCCTAAATTCCTCCGACCCACCAACTACGGCGGCGACATTTCCAGACCCACCACCAATCGAACATCCTACCACCACTAACACAACCTCGGCTACCAACGCTGCCAATATCAACCCAGGCCCTAGCCTAGCCCCCAAACGCCAGCGCCGCCCCAGTGTCCGCCTAGGTGAGATCGGTGGAGACCCAACTTACGACACCAACAACCACCACATTCGCCGCCCCAACAAAACCTGGCGCTTCCACAAGGACCCATCCCTCGCCGCCAAGACCTCCAAAACTCGGCCCCTCACAAACCTCGTCAATGTTGCCGACTCAAATTACCGGGATGCTTTTGAGCACACTGAGAATTATGCTTCAGCAGGGGACTTCATCCACAGAAAGCCCAAGAACAAGAAGCCTATGAAGCGGGCTCGCACCAATTGGAATAAATTCGACTCCATCCTTAATAATGGAGTCGGTGGAAGCGGTGGTGGAGGAGTAGTCGACAGCGCAAACGCTTTTCAAGCAGAAAACGAGAATAATAATGGAGAGATTAGGGATTTCGAACCTGAGGGCTCGGATAGTCCTTTGTTAAAAGAGCCTAGCCCGGTTAATTCTGTAGAGAATATGGGTTTGCAGTTTTGGGATCGACAAAGAAGGGAGAGCAATGGAATAACTCAGAATGAGGTCGATTCGCAGGATCAGCGTAATGAAGCAAGCAAAGGGGTGAGGGAGTGGTTGATTGGGCTGGGTTTAGGAAGATACGCACCAGTTTTTGAGATACATGAGGTAGACAATGAGGTCTTGCCGATGTTAACTCTGGAGGATCTCAAGGACATGGGGATCAATGCTGTTGGTTCAAGGAGGAAAATTTACTCTGCAATTCTCAAGCTGCAAAAGGGTTTATTGTGAGTTCTTAACGTTGTGTATGAGTTTAGCATTTTTGGTTTGTGAGCTTCCTTTTCTTTCTAGTAACGTGAATAATGATGGTATAATTTAATTATGGTGACCTAGTTTTGGAGTTAGTGTTCTATTTTTGATCTTTTTGTCTTGCTAGTTTTTGTGAAATGTAACTGTCAATGTATAGAAGAAGATGGCCAAGAAAGAAATATTTGTTAGACTGCTATATCCTTGAAGCATCTCAATTAAGTTCATATCTTATATGATCAAATGAATTGACAAAAATTCAATCTTTTGGAAGGTTTTGCGTTAAATAGAGGACATTCTGCTTTGATTTTTATCAGAACCTGGCCATTTCGATTATCCTTAGTGAAAATTACTTTTCTTAACTGAACTAGTGATCCTAAGTCCCGGTTTACTAGTTCTCATTCAATCAATATAGTTAGTAGTATCTAACATGAATGACAAGTCAATCACTTTGCCTGTCTTGTTTGTTGCAACTTTTCTATTCCGGAAATGCTTTAGAGAAAGTCACGTTAGACCAACTTCCTTTAAAAATTCTTCTAATTAGAAGAAACACTTTTATAAAACTAGTCAGAGGTAAACATGCGTTGCACGTTATTCTAAAATACTGTATGAGTGACGTAAAAGTGATATTTGAAGATATGTAAATATAAAAAATAGTAAAAGAATTTGTTTATGTTAAATGAACTTTTTATACAGTTCAATTATTTATTTACGTGCATGTATAATAATTGACATTAATTTATTTTTACTCTATTATAATTCAATCAATTAATTCTTTAAATTCATACATGTACACTATATATTTTTGGGACTATTCAATTACTCTAGAAATACTACAATTCTTCCCAATTATATAGGTTTGTTTTATTTTTCACACGGATTAAGAAAGTTTTTTTAGGCCCTGTTTGGTACACATTATTTTTTTCATTCTCATTCTTCTACTCATTTTCAACCACACATTTTTCAATAAAATAATATTTTCCACCACATCAATAACTTTTCCTTCATTTTTAACCACACATTCTTCATCAATCTACTATTCAATAATACATTCTTTCAAAAGAAGGTGTACCAAACACACTTTTAATGTCATTGAAAAATTAATTTTTATCAAAATCTTTTCTAGTTAATCCCTATTAAATTTTCAATATGTAAAATTAAATTATTGTTGGAACTAATAAAGAATTTGAAGAAGAAAAAATAATAAGAGTTGTTCCATGTTTCCAAGAAGTGAGAAATGTGTGTATTTGGAAGATTTCAAGAAGTTGGCATATTAAATGTGAAAAATTTAATAAGGATATATTGGTAAAGGAATACAAAAAAATATTTTACATTAGGAAACATGCTTATATATTTGGGACAGGAGACAAAGGAAACTCTGCCTATATAATTGGGACGGAGGGAGTATTTATGTATATGCATGTATATTAATTAACATTTATGTATAGATATATTATATATAACATTAAGTCTTCAAGTTCATGTACACGTGTTTTGGGAGCCATTCAATTATACTAGGAGTAAATAAATTATTCAAATTCATGTACACGTATTTAATTTCAATATTATTCATGTTATGTTAAATTATTCTAAGAGTATATAAATTATTCAAGATCATATAATTTGGGAGTTATTCAATTATTATAGGAGTAGATAAATTATTCAAGTTCATGTACACTTATTTGATTTCAATATTATTCATTTAATCTATGATATAACGTCATTTGTCTAAATGTATATAAATTATTATTTTCTATATCTATTAATTCAAATTAATTAAATTCCATGTTGGTTCACGTACACCCCATTTGTTTAAATGTATATAAATTATTCTTTTTCTATATTCATTGATTTAAATTAATTAAATTTCATGTTCGTGAATCTGTTTGATTGTTGTCGTACAATTCAATTATTTATTTGCGTGCATGTTTAATAATTAATATTCAATTAAATATATATTGAAAAACGAAAAGTAAAGTATTATTGAAATAGTTGAATTGTAGTATGACTAAAATCGTCCAGAAAATACAGATCGCTAAGTTTATGTATCTTTTCAGGAGCTAATGTTTGACTAATACATCTATTGATGTTGAGGTTTATAGGAGGAGTTGTGCTTTATTTGTTTGGTCAGAATATGCAATGTCTACATGATATGTTTCTTTATGATTGAGGAACTGCGTCTAGCAAATGAAGCTTTATGCCAACTCCACAATGAATCCTGCCAAAATTTACCAAAATTACTTATTAGTGGTGGTGGCACAACCTGTTAGAAATGGACTGACGTCAGTAATTTTATACATTGATCTCTCACTGACTGCATTAGTCCAGAGTCCCCCAGGCCGAGAGGCATCCATTTTGGTTTTACTTTCTGAAAGAAAATTGATATTGTGAGCTGAGGTTTATTAAGTCTATGCACCCGAGCTTAATCAATTTCAAATATATGCCGTTAGATGTGACATTTTTTAATAATGATTCATCGGGTTTCTTGTGCAGTTGCACGTGCAGTTGAATTGGCTTTCACTATAAAAGAAACATCTTTTACGCAAATTTTGAAAGTGAGTAAAAGAGGTTAATAATCCGATGGAGTCTGCCAAATGTGAGTTTCAGGAATTGAACTTCCCTAGGGAGAAATGTTTCCCATATGAAGATAATAGTGCTCATGCATAAACCATTTGATGTCCTTTAATTGTTGACAAGTCATTTGAGCAAAAATAGCAAAGAGGAAGTGTTTTTTTTTTTTCAATTTACTATAGAAGCAGGTAAGTAGGTTTTCGTATAAACAATGATTATTGGGTTTTTGAGCATTAACACTTGCAGTTGAGAGAAGTTGGCTTCTGTGTGAAAGAAAAACCTGCACACGAATATGGAAGCTAGTCAAAGAGGTGAACAGTCTGATGGGTGGGAAGGTATAACAATCCGATGAAATTTATATTCTAGGTAAGATAGATGGAAAGTCTCCTGCGAGAGAGCCAATCCAAGACCTGGTTTTTAATTCCCGAGTAAAACTTTGATTTGTCAACTCCTAAAGGTGATTGCTGTGGACATCTGTTTTTGAAAACTTCTGTTATTGACAACAAGGTCTGCGGTGGAGGAAATGGTAAATTCTGATAGTCAACAAGTGTTGTGAATTGAACTTTCTTTTCTTTGGTGGTTCACATCCGTGAAAAGCAAGCAGAAAAGGAAACTGCAAGGTACTTACCCTTTTGGTCACTTGGGTGTTGAACTTGGACGAAAATAATGGATAAACGAGATTAGTGTATGAC